CACACACACACACACACACATTCTTGTATTTGTACACACGTTAGGACTTTGTATTGACTTCCATTTATTTTAGTGAGTCCTCTATGCCTAGCCCAAACCCTTACCCTAACCCTAACCAGTGCATTCCTAAAGTTATCTGTAGCAAAAACTCGATTCACATCGTATCTGTTAACCTCACCCCTAGGGACTACTCCGTTTTAGGACAGAGTTTTGGTCCTAACAAGGACCATTGGTCTTAAGAAGAGTAGTAAATATCCCAAATCCGGTCTTCACAAGGGTACAAACACACACACACACACACACACACACACACACACACACACACACACACACACACACACACACACACAGATAAATCAGCAGCTAGCATAACCTATATTTTGAAGAGCTTTAACACTCCAATAAACAGCAACCCTACAGGACCAAAGACACAAGTCAAACATTTCTCACAAACACTCACAGATGATTGGGCACATCATAGAAAAAAGCCACACAAGCTAACGTCCCGCTGGCTGGTAAAAAGCATCCGGTGCTTTGGAGAAACAGGAAGTGTGCGTCTCTTAATAACAAGCCCACTAAAGTGAGTGAGATCTAAGTGAGGTGTTCAAGCGTTTGATCTTTTTCCAGCTGTGAGTTTTACAAAACTGCTGCTGGAAAAAGTTGCTCAGTAGTTTTCATCATCTGTTTCTAAAGTCTTACCCGTCTAGTTATAAATGGCTGCAGTTTCCCTTTGTCAGCACATTAATAACAAACACCCTTTTTTGACAGACACCACGTGATGTGAGCTGAAACATGCTGATTGTGAGCACATATGGAACACATCCACACGTATAGACTCGGCACCCCACCCCCACACCTCGTTGTAGCTGCTCTCCTTAAACACAACTGCTTTTTCCCCTCCTGGATGCTTTTAGACTGAACTCAAACCGTGAGAAGGACTTGAAATTAGGAGCCATGATGAAAATGTAAACTCCAGAAGGGCAGAGGGATGAAGACGTATGCTCTCATAATAAAACAAACATGTTTTTATTGTCTTTACACACGTTTGCAGAAGAGTGAAGAGTCTGAGCTCAAAAACTGCGTTTCTGGAAAATAATTAAAAAAAAGATGAAGATAGCGAGATGGTTTAGCTTCGTAATTCCAGGCATGGATGTTTATTTTTGTTGGAAAACCTAACTGTCTGTGGCTAGAAATTGGAAGTACATTTTATTGGCCAAACTGCCAGGAAGTTTACGTGCGGTTGTTACCACCCTCTTGTGGTGACCTACTGCATTTACTTTGCTCGCACAGCTCTGGAGCAATGGAGTAAACTTGGAGGGGAGAGGTGTTGTCCTCTTTCAAAGTGTTGACATACAACGAGATGTGCAATAGTGTCAGAAGGTTTGTCTTCAGGCAGGGGATGGATTCTGTGCTCTGAAACAGAAAAAGAATGTCTTACAAACAGGATGTAAACCAGCAGACAGGCTCACGTGTATCATGTGGGATATGAGCGGTGAATTCAGAAAACTAATTAAATGAAGTGAAAATTGTCAGAGTTGCAGATTAACCGCAGTAAATAGAATTATTCGATGTATAATAACATGTTTATTAAAATTACATTTGAACATTTTAGTTGTTACTGTTATTTTTTTTAGGTTATAATGTTTTGTTGCTGGTTTTTTATTTTTATTTTGTTTATGAGGTCCTAGAAGTAAACAAAAACAAAAAAAGGCTACATAAGATAAATACACCCAAAAAAAACTTTTACTAGGTTACACATGAATACTGATCCAGTTTAGTAATGTAAATGCTCAATTGTTTTGGACTTTTTTAAAGACATGTCTTTTCTAAAGGGTTTGACCAGAGATTATAAATTTAATTGTTCCAATTTTAGCTTAAAGGGAACGTTTTATGCCAAACTTTCCTTTTCTGATCTCCTATCACGTGGGTCTATACTGCCTGTATAAACACTCCAAACTTGATACAAATCCATCCATCTGTTTTCTATCAGTGTCTGGTTTTAGGAATTGTGTGCCTAAAATGAGCCATTTCAAGAAATCCCCATTTGTGATGTCACAAACTGGGAAATTAGACTGGAGCCACCTCTCATGTGTAAGAAGGAGCTGCTGGAGGAGCAGCGGCTCGACTCCAAGCCCCCCAGATATCTGAGCTTCTCAGCTTATAGCAGCCTGAGCAACACGTTCTCACACCTGAAGCGGCTAAAACTGACGCGGGGGTGACCAAGCGTTTGTTTCCGACGCGTTGGGGCTCCCAACGTATCGTGGGGTGATGCGCTTTGCCAGAGCGTCGCTTTCCGACGCCTGCGGTAAAACGGAGATTTTACCAAATTGTGACCTTTACCCTCTTGCAATTTAACTTTCTCCTCACCCTCATCCTAACCTTAACCCACTTGTGCGTGCAAAACTTTGTTTCTAGTTGTATCGTCCATCTCAAACACAATTAACAACAAGTTTAGAACAAGAAACTGGGTTAAGGTGAGGATGGGGGTGAAGGGAAGGTTGAATGGCAAGAAGTTAGAGGTTAAATGTTGGTGAAATGTGCGTTTTCCCACGGGCGGCAGAAAGCGACGCTCTGGCACACCGCGTCACCTCCTGATGTGTTGGGACTCCCAACGCATCGAGAACAAACACTTGGTCACCCATCGTCCTTTTTAGCCACTTCGGGTGTGAGCACGAGTTGGTCTGAGAGTAGGGTGTGTGGGCGTGCCCAGCTCCAGCTGGTTATCTTAAAGTGACAGAGCACTGAAACGGTTCATTCTGGATTCATTTGGTGCATTCTAGTGCTGAAAATAACAAGAATAAAACTGTTGAAACATCTTTTTATTAGACTTATTTTTTTGTTGCAAAGAACACGTTTCGTAGCAACCATTAAACAACAACTTACGATTAAACATCCACATCTCTTTAAAAGCCTAAAACATCCAGTTCATAATTATGAAGTTCCTCAGAAGAGGTAAGCATCTTCAAGAAGCAAGAAAGTCAGCTGCTTTTTGTTTATGACACTGTAACTCAAACAGAACCACTACAAGTCAGAAACTAATTCATGTATTTATATTTTTATCTACTTGTCATCCCAGCAAAACCATCCATGCAGCACAATATCTCAATCCAGAATGACTTCCTATCTCTGGCTCCTTCAAAGGCAGTTCGAAATCTGGGTGTTGTGATTGATGAACACCTGACCTTTAAAGATCATGTTGCCTCTGTTGCCCGTTCATGCCGCTTTGCGCTGTATAACATACGTAAGATCAGACCATACCTAACACAACATGCCACCCAGCTCCTGGTGCAATCTACTGTCATCTCCCACCTCCATTACTGCAATGCTCTTCTAACTGGTCTTCCAGGCTGTACTGTGAGACCTCTTCAAATGGTCCAGAACGCAGCGGCGCGTCTGGTCTTCAACCAGCCAAAAAGAGCACACGTCACCCCTCTGTTCATTGAGCTCCACTGGCTACCGCTAGCAGCACGCATCAAATTCAAATAGCTAACACTAGCATACAAAGTCCGAGATGGTACGGCTCCCATCTACCTGAATCCTCTTGCAAAGGCTTATGTCTCGCCCCGACCGCTCCGGTCATCACAGGATGGTCGGCTAGCAGTGCCTACACCACGCTCAGGACAATCCAGACTCTTCTCATGCATCGTTCCACAAATGTGGAATGACCTTCCAAGCACTACCAGAACAGCGGCTTCCTTTTCAATTTTCAAGAAACTCCTGAAGACCCTGCTCTTCAGAGAGCATCTTCTAAACTAGCACCCTCCCTGCACCCGTCCCCCCTCTCTACTGTCCACTCCTTGTTCCCTCCTCTCCATGACTGATGTCAAGTTGTTGTTGTTATTGTTGTTGTTAGCCTCAAGGGCAACATGCCGATTATCACTTGTAAGTCGCTTTGGACAAAAGCGTCTGCTAAATACATAAACATAAACATCTTCATTATCATTTACCCAACAGATAATCTTTATGGATTAAACACATTCTTGCCCTTCAGCAGGCTGTGGCGAGCTTCAGAAAACATTTTAACTTTTGTTTTTGCCACAATTCTAATTTAGATGTTTCAGTAAATAAAAACCTAAACATGAAGAGCTGATAACACTTGTGGTGCAAATCTAGTCTGAAAATAATGTTGATGTTTTTTATAAACACGATTGTTTAAGAGGTTCTTAAATGTAGCAAATAAACACAATAAGGAGTTGGAAAATGCTTCAATTTATGCTGAAAATGTGAAAGTGCATTCAATGTTGGATTAACTAACATGTTTTCATATAATTCATCACTAGCCATGAAAATGGTACAACTTCTTTCAATACAGCAATAAATAGGAGTTTAATGTTGGACAAAGAAGAAAAAAAACGTTTAACGCTTCCTTTTACAGTCCCCTAATTACTAAATACTAAATACATGGTAATTACATAGTACATTAGACTGTATTATTGTGTAATTAAAGTGTATAACTGTAATAAAGTGTTATTTCTGTGTAAATCAGTATTTACTGGGAATGATTCATAACGATAGAAACTAGAATTAAATCTTAGTTACATGGTAATAACTGTTTAAGAACTCAGAAACAACAATACACTTTAACTTACGATGTAATTAACATGTAAGTATTTAGTAATTAGGGGACTGTAAAAGGAAGCGTTACCAAAAAATGGATTATTTTGTTTTCAGACATGTTTTTTATTAGTTTTGAGACACAAATGAGGAAAAGTTCTGTTATTCCTAACTCAAGTCTGCTCTAAGTGAAGTTTGGGTGTTAGCGGATGAGAGCATCTGGATGTGTCTCAGAGGCCACATCCACTTGAAAACACACTGTGTGGGATAAAGTGATAAGTGAGCAGATGTTCTGTGGATTCTGTGGAGTCTCATCGACTTCTGACGTGGAGGAGACCATGAACTCTAAAACCGGGGGCGGTTAGATCATCAAACATGGTTTTATTAGGCACGTCTGTAGCAACGTAACTGTATATGTTAAACAGTTGGTGAAAATGACAACTCACTTCTCAGATGGGAAACATTCGACACAAAATCAAGAAGAAAAAAATGTAACATTTCAACTTATTGGAGCAAGACTCCCCCGTGTGAAAGTCTCATGGACCTGTCCATCCTCACAACCTGGTCAAGTGCTTAAACGGTTACATATTCTTGCTTTTTACCTGGGTCAAGCCCAAAAAGTCCACTTTCTTTTTACAATGTGGGTCTTGCTGGTGCTCGTGTTGGCCCTTGCTGCAGGAGCATCAGAAACCAACGACACAGCAGCTGAGAGAAAACCAGTCATAGCTCGAGGTAAACTTCTGGTGAGTACAGATGCAAACCTGACAACTTCAAAGGGTCATCACGACAGCTCAGAGTGTCCACCGGACATGATGTCTCTGCAAAGGGACAGGAAGAGACAGAGGACACATGAAGGGGGGAAACGGGATGAGTTGTCTGTTGTTGTGTCAACTTGCGAAGAACAGTGAACTTAAATCTGCTTAAAAACTGCGTCTGTTGTTCCTCCTGCAGGCTCCTAGTGTGGTCGGATGAGCCATAAAGAAAATGCCGGAGCTCCAACACTTTCTGCTGGAGCGATGGGCTTTGTAGTATCCTTTTGCTCTGAAACGTCCAGAAAAAGGAAAGTTGCACAAAAATAAAGTTCAGAGCAGCGTAAGAAAAACGGAAGGTGTTCATACGTGTAAGTGAACCAGTTTTCCTTGATCTGCTGTTTTTTTATCCTCCGTTCAGCCACAACTTGGAATACGATTCATCAGAGGAGAAAAATCCCCGTCTGATATTTTATGATGACAAGGATACAGTTGTACAGGTGAAGGTTCTTTCAATCTTCTAACAATGGCAGCATCAGATGGATGTTCAGTTTTGAAAGTACTGATCTGGTGTCAGACACAAACATCAACATTAAGGGAGAAAGTTAGCTTGTTCCATGCTCAGAAACATGGAATTTTATAGGAGTGTTTTTGCAAATAAATTCTTCCAAGTGTTCATTCTTTGTTAGTTTTCCATCATGGAGTAATAAAAACATGTGAGAGTGCAGATTTTAGTCTACCAAACACACTCAACACCTAAATCCTCCAATCCTGAAGCCACTTTCTCCATCCTCCCACCTTCTCACGTGTTTGTGTGCTTCCTGAAACATCAGACCGTCCCTGTGGACAAAATGAAGGCAGAAGAGATCAGCAGCCTGCTGGACTCACTGGGTTTCTACAAGAGGTCCCAGAAAGGGGAACAGGTACCAGAGGAGTTCCAGAACTTCCCCCTGCACGCCCCCAGGGACGAGCTGTGATGACCCCTCCTGGTCAAACCCTGCAGCTGCACCCAGACCGCTTAATGACGAGTGGGGCTTCAAGGCTGCACCTGGAGCCAGGCTCCTCTCTGAGGACTCGCTGGCTGTCTGCAGCTTGCAGGGTGTTGGTCATCAGAGATGCATCATGTTTGCTTTTAATACGTCAATAAATAATGCAAAAGAAACCCGTTTTTTTTTAGCAACACGCAAACACCACAAATGGTTTCATTCTCTACTAATTAATTAATCGTCACAAATGGCCACTAACAGATAAACTGTTCCTAATCCTCATCCCGCCTCCTCCACAATAATCTGATTAGCGGCCGAGTGGAGCTGCAGCTCTTTGTGTGTCTGCACTTGTGTCTTGATGAGACTGAGGACAACGGTCATCAGCAGAAGTTCGAATTCTGTCCTCTGTGATGATTCTTACCCACAATGTCCGTCTTTTACTCGCCTACACCGGAGAACCTGCAGACGGGCCTGGCCTACATGAGAGGCTCTGTGTTCGCCAACAACAGGACGGCAGACGTTGACCTCACCAGGGAGCAGGAGGATGCAGCGGGTTGGTTTTCTTCTCACTTATAAACAAAATCACTCATTATCTTCATTTTGTTTTTGCTGTCTGCAGAAGCACACATCTCAGCTAGTATTTATGCAGCCAAGCGGTTTGTTATTGTCTTTTTGGCACATCTGTAATATGTTTGTGGAAACAACTCATTATAATTTATTTAAATTTTCAAAGATGCGGCCAAATTTTGCACCTATTTAACAATCTTCACATGCACTTAACATCTGACACGTTCTGTTTATGAAATGTCCAAAATATTGTAGTGTATAAACGGCAAGGGTAATAATTTTAGGTTGTGTAAACCTTTATTCAGGCTCATTTTGTGTTTGTCTTGTTCCATTAAAAGGTATAAAGTGTTTCTATTTACTGTTATTTATCTTTCAGTGGCCAATGAGTTAGTTTCTCACCTTCCCCTTCAAATGCTGCTATACTTCAACATGTTTTACTTTCCATGCTGGTGGTTTTCTTCAGTGTTCATGTTAGAAGTAAAGGTAAGTCACGGAAAATGCATGGGGGGGGGGGGGGGGGGGGGGCAAAATCTTTATTAGTTCTGTTTTTATCTGAAAAAAAAGCTGCAGCCAGTTTAGTATAAAGACTAAAACATCTGCCCTATGAGCAGGTTTAAATACATCAAATATTACAAAGTTTCTCGTAATTAAATAAATGTCTGCAATCGAGACAAAAGCTAAACATGAATCCAAGACTTTGGCGCCATCTACTGGTTTCCAAGCAAACATCTCTTCACGACTTTTATTCTATACGTTGTTTTAAATAATGGATTCATTTCATCCATTTATCCTGTAAATAAATAGCAACAAAAATAAGAGTTAAAGTTTAAGATTATTAATTAATAAAACAATAAAAAATATATAATAATAAGAATACATCTGACTACTATCGACACTATCTGACTTCAGGACTCCATTCTGCCCATCAATCTGTGCAATATCCAATATCTACATGCTATCGACAATAACTGAAATGTTCAATATGTATAAAGTGCAACTTTGCACCATTTGTTTATTTATTGCTTTTACTGTTTCTGTTTGACTGCAATAAAGGTGCTGCTTTTAATGTCATTCTACTTTCATATAGTGACAATAAAAGGCAATAATTCATTTTGTTCGTAAAGGGGTTTTATTTTCGACGCTCAGGTACACGGTGACAATTTAACTAATGATAATAAAATCATTTTACTAAACAGTTGAAGTAGAGGAGAGACTTGCTTCAGGCTTACTCACATCCAGCTCTGTTCTCTTCCCAGTTCCACCACCTTGCAGGGTACTACCAGGCTCTGCTCATAACTGGTCTGGTTCTGGTCACCGTCGTTGAAGTGATTCGGCTTTATCTGGGCTACACTGGAAACCTTAAAGAGAAGGTGACGCAGACTCAAATCTACACTGAACGCCACAAAGTCTTATTAAAACATAAAAAATGCTGTTTTGTGTTCTTTTTGCATAACAAATGATTTGTGTTGATTCATCGCTGCAAATGTGAGAGCAGCTGAAGCTTCTGATGTCTCACTGCTCTGAACTCGCCCTACTTTCCTCCCTGTCATCAGGTGCCAGAGCTGGCAGCCTTCTGGCTGCTCTCCTTCACCTTCCAGCTGCCAGTGCTGCTCTTCTTCGTGACCGATGAAGGAACTATCATCCTGCCTCTGGAGAGAGCCATCCACTCCATCTACCTCCTTTTCCTCTTTGCTCAGATCCTAGCATCCTTCTTGGCTCTCAGGGCCATGACCCGAAAGCTCACCCTTCTTTTTTACCTACGCCAGTTTGGTAAGGTGGAGAGCCTGCACCACCCAGAGATGAGCCCCGTCTGTGGGCTTGCCTACAACCGCAGCGTGCTGCCCAGTTCACCCACTCCTGAAGTCTACCATTAAAGACCAACTTCACTGAGGGTTAGGCTAACCCTAACCCTAACCCTAACCCTTAGCTACCAAATGAAATAGCCAATCGTAGGAGAGCCCTTCTAGCCAATCAGAGTTGAGAAAGGCAGGACTTTCCTTGGAAATCTTACTATTTCAATATCCGTGCACCAGGGCGGACTGACAGAGATAAGGCTGACATTTGCACCATCGGCCCCACTGAACACCACCAACACAGACACGTCGAGTAAGTGTCTTGCCCAAGGACACAACAGCAGAATACCCTGGCAATAGCTGGGATTGAACCAAGCCCCCACAATGAAGCAAAACAGGAAGTGAGAAAAATTGCAGTTCCACCCTCATCCACTAGGGGCTGGTGTCAGAAGCGAGCAAATCCTCATTGACTCCCATGTTAAAAATACCAATTTCACAGCAGAAATAAACATGTTTACAGCCTGGTACCAGAACATGTTTTAGGTTTAAATGATCTAGTTTACACTCATGACAACTCTGAGGGGGTGAATGTTTTTCTCACTTTTCTGTTTAAGTGTATTAAAAGCCTAAAATTTTGTATAATTAATGAGCATCAGACCCACGTGACCACAGAGCTAGCTCCGTGGAAAGGCCTCAGTAGAGCCTCGGTCTGGCCTGGAAACTGCTCCGGGATTTTGAGTCTCTGTGTGTGTGTATTCTTGTTTGGATATTATTTGTGCAATTGTTGGACAAAATGACTTGCTGTGGCATTAATTGCACTAATAGAGCGTCCAAGGAGTCTCCACTTCATTTTTTTCGGTAAGTAAAATTATATTTATGTATTTTAGGTCACTGCCGAGCTGAGCTTAGATTTTAACATGTACTGTTTAACCATGAAATTTACATGTAATAGGGTAAAACCCAGTGCATTTAACATAATGCTGCACTTTAGAAAATGGGTTGAAATATAACATGTTGGTGGAGCTGGGTTCCCACTATCGGTATGGTCCCCTGCCCTCAGCGGCAGCTCGGCGCATCTCTGACCGCAGCGGCGCCTGTCTGCTGTGCGGCTGCCGGCTTGTGGAGGTCTCGGGAGACCTCTGTCTTCTACCACTTCTACCCAGCGGTCAGCCCGGCGTATCTCTGACTCAGAACCTCTGGTGTTGTGCACAGTTAACTCCTGTTGTTGCTAGGTAGCAACCTCTGTTAGCTTAGCTCCCACCTCCGCGTTAGCTTTGGGTTAGCTTGAAGCTACATCGTTTCAGTTCGGCGGGTGTCGTTATTTGAGCCCAGCCTTACAGCCCCACCCTCAGCTCCACCTCTTTTCCCTTTTATGGAATTGTCTGGGCTTGACGGAACCTGTAACACGGTCAAAATGGCGGTGGTGGCCACCTCCCATTTTGGCACAAAAACTTATAATTGGAGCCTACGGACAGGAATTGTCCAGTATATATGTTGATGGGTTGAACCTGCAGTCTTCTACTGATACTGGGAAACCCGTTCTACCTCCAGAGCTGTCGCTGCTCCAGTACTTTTCACTATACTTGGGAACAAATTCATTCCCAGAAGTTATTCATCTCCTAAATGTACACAGAGGAGCCACTTTTTTTTCTTTTAATATTTTCAACAAGGTTGAGAAGAAAAATTAGGTCAAAGTGTCCCACACATAAACAGTTTCGCATTTTAAAAGCTCCTCTTTTCCTTGATTGAACACATCCCTGCCTTGTGTTGGACATTTCAGCTTCAGAAAAAATGGCTCAGTAAAAAACTGTCAAACATTTATGACCACAGAGGGGCAGTCAGTGACCAGAAGAGGGGCGAGAAGCTCCTGACAACGCTGCAGAGCCCAGCCAGGACAGATTATTATGCAGCACGTGTCTGGATCGGGAAACCCTCTGGCAGAGGAATAAAGGTTAGACCTGTCTATGGCTGAACATCGCGTATTATTTAATGATTTATGATGCCAGCTTTAGCATACATGGAAATCAATAGCATCATTTGTCAAAAGGCTGTTTTTCCCCTCAGCCAAACACAAAATGTTGATGTAGGTTTTACAAGCTTGTAATGTGAGGTATCACGTCTGAGGAAACTCAAGCCTGTTTTACATTCAGAAATAAGCTGCAGTAAGTGCTGCGCCGGTAGCTGCCTAACAGAAAATAAAAAATGTCTATAAAAGGAGGTGGAAAAATTCTACTTCTCATTTTGCATAGAGCAGAAAAAAATAACCAAAACTCAAGTTTGATTCTCTTTCATGTCTAAGAAGGCATGACATCTGTCGGGCATCACGCAAGGCTCGGTGTAATTCATCAGTAAATGTGGCTCGGAAAAGCTAAAATGGTTCAGCACAATCACAGCAGCATTCAACCTCATCTGACTTTCATTTGTGTGACCTTTACAAAACCAAAAGCTCGTTCGGAAGATGAGTCAGGTAGGTGTTTAGCTACAGTCACAAAAATCTTTCTTTTTGCATTTTAAAAACTTGAAAAGTGTAATTTCAAGTTTCAAATTTGAAGAGACGATCCACATGGAAACCGTTTTTTCTACTTACTTCTTATCTCCTGGCTGGCTCGCCATTCTGTAATGATTTAGATTACATGTTATTTAATGAGCCATAAGGCGTAGGATTCCATAGGAAATATGAAATCCACCTTACGGATCTGTGAGGTTATTTAAACCAGAAGATTGGAACTTTTTAATGCAGGGATTAGATAACCGCTCGTATTCACTCAGAGACAACAGAAGAGAGAGAGTCAAGTTTAAAAGTTAAGAATTTTATTACTAATAAATTAATTTAGACTGACTTTAACACTAAAAGTGTGGTGTAACTAAGGTGAATGAGACGGTGAATGGGATGACGTGTGATGTTGCTCTGAACCAGCAAATCCGAAGAAGCGATTAGTTCTGATGGGAACTGAAGGTGATGTCTTCGCATTAAGCTTTGGTTAGGAGGTTCATAAACACATTCAACGCCATTTGTCGGTCTACATACCCTGAGTGGAAGTCCCCGTCTAGATCAGGAGGTGTAAAGGTCCAGCTTGACCTTATGGAGCAGGAGCCTGTAGAAGCAGCCACGGCAGCCGACCACCCGTCTTGAGATACTTCTGGGTCACGACAATTTGTTGGCGTCTGGTGAGACCCAAAACTGGGTCTTGATGGTTCAGCTTTTATTCTGAAAGGAACCGTTGCGGCAGTGGGAACAGCAACAGATTTTATCCAGCTTGTCGTTGGTTCTTTCGGCTGAAGAGGAAAGTTACGGATTGGCCACTCCGACAACTTCTCTAGAACGCTTTGAACTGGCGTTAAAGATGGCGAGGGCATAGTTTTATACTTCGTATGTTTTGGTTTATGGTCGAATGAAAAGATGACAGATTTACCAAGCACCACCAAAACCACGCCTCCGTCAGATCTGGCAGATTCTGATTGGATCAGTAATGTGTCATGTCTTTTAACGCTAAGTGAGATCAGTCCTAGTGGAAACATTTAAAGTCATAGTACCTTTATATTCTATAGGATCATAATAAAGTAATTAATATTTTCATTTCACAGATCGGTCACATCTTGAGCTGAAAATAAGCAGGTTAGAAGGAATGCATGAGACCTTGAGGCCACATCTCATGCAGATAGTTCTGTGTCAGAGGAGGGGGGGGGGGCAGTCATTTCATTCTGTTACAATAATCAGTCACTCTGAGTTTAACATGGAGCTGAATGTGAAAATAATCTTCTACCCCTATTTCCTGAATTACCTTGTGATAGAAAATAGACAGGAAAATGTTCAGTTCAGAAAAGCCTGACAGATCTATGTCACACCGTTAAACAACATTCATGGACTCACCCATCTTGACTCATAACGGGGAGGATGTTGTTGGTTTAGCGTCCAGGAAACAGCAGAGAACGTCTCAGCTAGTAGAAACTAACCATTAGCATTAGCAACTCCACCATACAGCAGAGTTCCCTCAGGCTGTATTTTTGGAGATAAAACATCAAAATTGCAGCGCAAACAGAATAAGTGTTGGAGTTGCATTCCTGTTAGCCAATCAGAGGCGAGATGTCCAAATATCAAGACTCCAAACCCTGCCTTCTGAAGCCACTTTCTCCTCGACTTCTCCGTTCTCAAACAGGACCACCAGGACTTCCCCCCAAAGAACAAATGACAAGGCATTCATTCCAACTAGAGACCACTGCAAATGTATTACACATTTGTAAAGTGACCATTGAAGTTAATGTATTAAAAGTACAACAGCAATATTTTTATACCAGTAAAATTAAGAAAATATTTCCAAACCTGCTAAAGTATGTGACAGGATTTTTTCTGCTGTGGGTTCATGGACATATTTACATATCCGGGCATAAAGATTTGCATATATATTGTTCCTCACATCCTCTTCTTCCTAATCTCTGTGGAATACTGATTGCAGAACCTGCTAACTTAATATGTTTTTAAAATAATATGGAGTGCAATGATGAAATGTGATTATCTATGCTACTTTTCAAGTATTTTCTACGTTATTGGTAAAATAAGAAACGTTAACTCATAAACAATACACCTAAATAAATTGAACGTGTGTGATGAAATGTAAAATTGTTTCATGAAATGATTCACAACACTTGTTGTTTTTAGGATATTGGTTTATTTTGAAATAAATTATAAATTCACATTTGCTAAATGTCTTCAAAGGACAGAAACAACTGAAATGTAAGTCTTATTTTATAGTTCCATTTGTAACAAGTGCCTTTCAAAGCGATACACATCCACAATCCCTACTGGTGGTGTGTCAAAGTCCAACTGGGCAACAGCGATGAACAAAAAGGTTACAGGAAGGTCTCATAAATAAAAATCATGGTAAGAGTTCAACATTTGTTGGACCTAAACATTAAAAAGTGGAAAAACCTGTAATTAAAGACCAAGTTTTAAGGGAGAAATAAATTAAATTCTTAGGCCTGAAGGTGGCGGCACGCTCTGTAAAACTTTGCTCCATTAATGGAAGAGATTTGGAAAATAGGGGTGAAATTAAAGCAGAAGTGAGGGAAACTCTGTGAAAAAAGAGATATGACTGAAGCTCGTCTGAGCAAATGAAATGCTCTTAATTCCAGACAAGACATTTGTTTGTACCTGATTTGGAAAAGAGAGCCATGAGGTTGTAAAGTTTTCTTGACGATAAAATGTTATAAAACTTCACTCTTTAGATCAAACGTGTCAGACACAAGGCCAGCGGGCCAGATGTGGTCCGCCACATATTTTAACGTAGCCCGCGAGATTCAAGTGTCTTAAAATAAGTCTTTGCTGCTTCAAAGCACACATTGACTATAAACTACATTTGTCATAATGCGTGGTGATTGTGTTTCCAGTGCAGTGACTCGCCACCAGGTCACAGTGTATCCACTTCCATGTTTAATTAATGCAACAAGTGAAAATAACTGTCGGCAGCAAGGGCACGAGCAAAATACTGTATTTGTTATCTCCCGCTTTATATTAAACAAACTGTCCACCCGAGCTTTTGCGCTGCACACTTCGCTGCCTATGACTTTGAACATCAGTTGAGAGTGGTTGAGAGTCAGACTTATGCAGACTGACCAATGAAGAGAGGCCCGACCGCAAACATAGCGGAGAGCGCTGCGCGTTGACCGCACCGGTGAGGTGGTCACTGGAGGATGAAACAGGTGATGCGCTCAGCTCCACAACAGCAAAATGCATCAGGCACAAATAAAAGACAGAAATCATGAAAGGAAATGAGCCGACATAAATGATAGCGTGTTAAAGATGTGGCGACAATTTGATAATGTTACCGCGGCCGTTCTCAGGACGCATCTGTCTGGAGTGTGTCAACGATCAGAGCTCCGCGCCTCTCAGCTCTAAAAAATCCCCAGAGAGTCCACATAGATAATGTAATATTACCAGGATCGTTTTTGGGCTAAACAATGGCCTACAGTCCATCTTCCCTAATGTATTTGTGGCCCTGCGGATTTTTCTAACTCTACCAGTTACAAGCTGTGAAGGGGAAAGATCATTTTCACAAATGGCAAGAAGAAAAAATGAACTGAGAACAACACAAACTCAGCAGCGCCTCAGTGCACTGTCACTGATGGCTATTGAATCTCAGCTTGTCAGGAATCTGGACTTTGATGACAATGTAAATGAATTTAATAACAGAAAGGCCAGAAAGCAGTTTTTCTGAAGGCAAGCGAGGAGACCAACAAGAGGAGACAAAAAGAGGAGGAAGTAGCCAGGAGTCAAGAGGAAGAAGGAGATAGGAGACAAGAGGAGGAAGGAGGCAAGAGGAGGAAGGAGACAAGAGGAGGAAGGAGACAGGGGACAAGAGGAGGAAGGAGATAGGAGAGAAGAGGAGGAAAGAAACAAGAGACAAGAGGAGGAAGGAAACAGGAGACAAGAGGAGGAAGGAAACAGGAGACAAGAGGAGGAAAGAGACAGGAGACAAGAAGAGGAAGGAGACAGCAGACAAGAGGAGGAAAGAGACAGCAGACAAGAGGAGGAAGGAGACAGGAGACAAGAGGAGGAAGGAGACAGGAGACAAGAGGAGGAAGGAGACAGGAGACAAGAGGAGGAAAGAGACAGCAGACAAGAGGAGGAAGGAGACAGGAGACAAGAGGAGGAAAGAGACAGGAGACCAGAGGAGGAAGGAGACAGGAGACCAGAGGAGGAAGGAGACAGGAGACCAGAGGAGGAAGGAGACAGGAGACAAGAGGAGGAAGGAAACAGGAGACAAGAGGCCCCTAAGCACATTGTGCCCAGGGGGCCCTGCAATGATAATCCGGCCCTGATCATCCCAAAATGTCCAGGAAGAGAAAGATTGGTAGAAGGAATGTTTCAACAAAGATGGAACATGTTGATGCTTCAAGGAGAAAAACCGGAATGCCTTTACAGTCCTTAGTGTCCATGCTACTAGCATCAGCGTCTGCAGCGTTACCTCCCCTGCCTCGGACAAATTGAAAACACTCCTCTTACTCAGCACCAAGGTTACTCAAAAATTAGCTGACTTTGAAGCCCAGAAATGGATTTTACCAGCTCAGTAATCTGTTTGCTGCTGACTTAGAAAGTGCACCGACCAACTTCCAGGCCAAGATAATTTAACTCCAGTTGAGCGACACGCTCAAGTCACTATGACTCTGGCTGCTGCGGCTTTTATCTCCCTCCCCGACACAACTGCATGGTCCAGATGCTCTCCATGTCCAGCAGCACAAACCTGTGTGATCAGCTGTTTCTCACTGATGAACTCCTTCCTCAGCTCAGAGCCCGACCCCACAGGTGCAGGTCCGGCTGGAACAGGTGAGCATCACAAGAAATCAGAGTGGAGAAAACTGGGATTGAATTATTTTCATTTTATTAACCTTTTCAGCTCCAAAACATGAAAGTTAATAGGTGAGATTTTGCATTTTGATTTAAGATAATTACTATTTTTATTTATGTTGTTTGCCTGTGAAAAAAAAAGATTTCACCTACTTTATAAACAGGAAATATTACAGATTGATGAATAGAAATAAAATAGAAAATCCCTTAATTGTCTCTCAGTGGGGAAAGCTTGGTGTCACAGCAGCAATAACATTCATTACAGGAGCAACAAAGGTGAGTAAAAAATAAAGAATAAACAGGAAAACATAAAATAGAAACACTTAAAAGATTCAAAAGATAAAAAATTAGAAGAAATTGAATATATGCAGATTTTAAGGAATAAAAATATTTAAACAAAATTGAGACATAAGTAATGAAAACCACTGATGTGTACTTTATTTAAAACGGACTTGCTCGTGTGTAATTTGGTTATTCCACATTCAGTGTTGCTGCAAAACTAAGTTTGTTTCCAAATGAAAAGGTTCAACTGTTCACATCTGCAGATAAAGGAAAAAGTGCACATTTGCCGTCACTTTTTTTTAAAATATTGAGTTTGGCCCGCAACTTCGTCCCACTTTTTCATTTTGGCCCAGTGTGAATTTGAGTTCGACACCGCTGCTTTAGAGTATTAACATCATTTTATTTGCCTTTCTTTAAGTTGACAACAATGAAAACGTCATTGTTTAAATTCTTTTCCAAACACAGCACAGTTGGTGCCATGTTGGTGGCGTTACTTCCTTCTACATTTATTAACAATGGATGGATTACACAGAAGGAATGTACAAAATATGTTCAGTTAGTAAAAATGTTTTAAAATAACCTTCGTTGTGTATTTTTCCCCCATCAGTGTTCTTTCACACACACCCCTCTCCAGCCCAGACACTTTCTGTTCACCCACCGAGCTTTTCCTTGTCTCCATATCACCATCAACTCCTTTCCACACAAAGATGCAGATTAACCAGCTGGAGGGGGAAAAGAATAATACAAATGTTCTCTTTAGATGCAGAAATCACATCTGTAGCACAACCTCACATCTTCCCTGCCTCATCAAAGTGGCCTTCTCGGGTTTGTGATGAACTCCAGTCGTGTTGAGATAGTCCACCATCTAAACTTTAGTTCAGTTTGACTTTGCCTTCCTGCAGCAGCACAGCTCATAATCATCTGGGCTTCAGTGAGCTCCTCATAAGGTTAATTAGGACTGGGTACAGCTCAGAGGTAATCACAAAATGTGACCGTTGAGGCTGCGCTAAGAAAGCAATATCCAAGACATCCTCACGCCTTGTTTCTGTAATCCTTCATGGTGGCTTGCCAGTGCCATCAAAAAGTCTGGAAAGGCTCCCGTTCTCTTAATCCTAGATGGGAACACAACGAGCGCTAACGCTGCTGCAGTTCACAGCCATTCGTGAACCGTGATGACAAGGAGCCGATACACACGTCATTGTTAGAGGATTAGTTAAAAACACTAAGCAACATTTCCCTTATTTACAGTAGGTGTTTGCAGATAGATCCACTTTTAGTTAAAAACAGTCAACTGATCTGTCTGCTATGAGCGGTTTTACATCCTCTGAGCGAGACATTCATTCATTCAATCATTCATGCAAAAACATTCAAAATAGCTAAAAAACCTAAACTTTTCTACTTTCCAAATCACCGAGAATGGACAGAGAAGAAGTACTTGTTCTTTAGACATGAGGCATGTCTACAAGTTGACCAAATCCATGAAAACTAAACATCATGCAGGATCAAAGGGACATGCTGCAAGTTGCAATGCATGGATAATCGATAATAAATGAATAGAAATAACCCTAAACAAGTCCTGCTGTCAATTGTTCAAGATTCAATGGTAGTTTGTTTGTTTGGCCAGCTCTACGTGAGTCTTATGGTGCAAAAATAAATAAATAAACAACCTCAGTTGTTTACTTCCAACACATCTCTGCAGCCTCTTGCTAAACTATAATAACTCATTTCAAGTTACAACTGACATAGAAAACACTGATGAGTAGTTTTAGAACCTTTTGGGTTTTGTTGTATTTCGGTGAACGGTCTAGGACATCGCGTAATCTTTCCGCCACATAGACTTGGCAGCAAATAGCACTTGCAAACAAGTAGGGATGTAATGTCTACCTTGATTCTGAGAAGCCTTTCCTCTGACCCAGCTGCTGCTACCACTCATATCACAACCAGCACAAGTGCCTTTTAGGGATACAGAATACATTTTGCCCCAATTACAAACTCTAAACGATATTGAGCAATGAAATTCAAATCTCATTCATAACCCCCTTATGTAGCCTTCACCTTTGCAGCCATAAAAATATGCAACATCATCCTAGCAAGGCAGGGCATATTGAAACCCGAACTGAAAGTGGCAGCGAGAAATTTTCAATTTGTGTCTGATTATCTTGGTGAGAGGGGAATAGCAGGCCAATCCACTTCTCCCAGTGGTTTAAATGGGTATTCGCTCAGTAGGGAAATGAATATTTTATCAGTGTCAAATCTGTACCGCTCTATGGCACATGAGAATGTAATGCTTCATATTATTTAGTTTATGTTGTGTGTTAACTGACAGGAACTGAAATTATGTGCAAAGTTAACCAAGACGGCTCTTTTCACCAGCGTTTGTTTAACGCTTTCTGTTGGTTTGCCACTACAAATGCACAAATGTCACACCTTACCGAAACAGACGAACCATCTAATCTGAAAGGCTTTGAAGTAGCAGTGTCATGTTCTGTGTCCCTTTGTTCCCCAGCCCCTCCAGTTCCCACTC